GACCTGATTTCAGGTGCTTCCCGTGCTGGGGCCCTGAGCTCCACCGCGGGGCTGGACACAGGAGCCCCCGTTTTCTTGGGGGGTGGTGGTCTGCGGGGTGGCACAACAGGGCGCTGTGGCGGGGGCTCCCTGGCACCCGAGGCATTTGCTGCGCCCAGGGGTGCTTTGGGCAGCGCTTCTTTCGCAGTGTGGCTGTCCAGCTTGGGCAGGCAGGTGCTTCCCGTGCTGGGGCCCTGAGCTCCACCGCGGGGCTGGACACAGGAGCCCCCGTTTTCTTGGGGGGTGGTGGTCTGCGGGGTGGCACAACAGGGCGCTGTGGCGGGGGCTCCCTGGCACCCGAGGCATTTGCTGCGCCCAGGGGTGCTTTGGGCAGCGCTTCTTTCGCAGTGTGGCTGTCCAGCTTGGGCAGGGGTTTGCTCTCCATGCTTGGTCGCTCCTGAAACCTTCCAGAAGCCTCTGAAGAGACCATAGCGTTACTGAAGGAGCTTTCGCCGGCAGCGGTGTCCTGCTCAGAGGGTTTCTCTGGGCATTTTGCAGGTCTAAGCTTGCTCCGCAGGCTGCAAATGTCCAGTTTATCATCAGCTGGAGGTGGGTCAGACCGGGGGGCTGCAGCGGGTTTTGGCCTGATCTGAGGTCTGGACTTCAAGAATGGATTTTGGGCAATGGGGTCAGGCTTATCCTCCACAGGCTCAGCTTTTGGCTTGGTTGGCTTGACAATGGGCCGGAGGTTTGGCTTCTTCACTTCCTTGGCTGACACCTTGTGTCCACATTCCAGTCCCATTTCATTTTTCAGCTGGAAGAGTTTGCCCTTCTCCTGTTTCAGCTCGGGCTTCTTGCTGTCCTTTGGGGCTGCTGACTGCTTGGGTGGGATCATGGGCAAAATCACGCCTGGGGGCTTGGGGGGAGGCCTCTGCCTCTCCAGTAACTCACCTTCCGATTTAATGATGGACTCTTTCCTGGGCGGCAGGCTAGGCTTCTCCTCTGTGTCACGGTCCGAGATCTCCTCGTAACCACCGGCGAAGGCTAGGTCCCCGCTCTCGGGAGCCTCCTTTCCCTTCCAGTCTTTGGCCCACTTCCCACCACAGTCTGTACCGTTAGGAGGAGCCTCTGGCAGAGGACGACACGGACCTGTCGCTTCCTCGCCGGTGCTGCTGTCAGCCGTGGCATCGCCGAGCCGGAGCTGGGCCATCTCGTTGGGTAGCGGAGCCAGGAAATTTGGCCTGGATGCATTGCTGGTTTTCTTGTACTTATCAATGAACGTGGCGGGGGCCCAGCCTTCCTTCTCCTCAATCTGAATGTACCACCAGCCGCTCAGGTTTTTCTCAATAACCTGCCAGGAGAAGAGGAAACCTCAGGCATGCGTGCAGGAGCCCTCTCTGCACAAAAGGGGATGCTGGGCGTCTCTGAAATGACGTCAGGGTGGTGTATGGCCTTGGTGCCTCCCTGACCTGGTCACCAAAAGCCATGTAACCACAGGCCTGGTACCCTAACAGGAGGGGGACCCGCTAACCAC